TGTGTGTGTGTATGTGTGTGTGTGTGTGTGTGTGTGTGTGTGTGTGTGTGTGTGTGCGTGTGTGTGTGAGAGAGAGAGAGAGAGAAAGTTAGGTTTTAGGGTCTCTCATAGAGAACAGCTAAAAGACGCCTAAATCTCAATCTGCGAATGTTAACCTATTAAACATTTCGACTGCTATAAGAACACTTGATTTTCACAAGAACATTGGATTTTACCACAAAATACGCGACCCTTACATGAGCATTGGACTTTAAAACCCCCCAGAACAAGTCAAAACAGAACAGAACAGAACAAAACAAAACAAAAGGCAACCAAAACCACAAATTTACAAGAACGCTGGACTTTACTAGTAACACGCAAGAGCAATGCCCCCCCCCAAGAAAGCAATCACGTGTGCTATCCCCCAGTAGAAGTTCGCTATGATGGTGTGGACCACAGAATTGATTTCACAAAGAGGGGTACAGGTGTCTATATAACTCCAAGGGTCTTGTAACTAAATTCCTTCATGTGGTTGAATGATGCATCTGATGTGATATGTATATTTAGTCAGCTTTACTTCTCTTTCCATATTGAAATTTAATGAGAGTAATATATAATTTAAATTTTTATGTATACCTACCTGCATGTGTTTTTACGGTCCCGTACAGCCAAGAAAAATTTCCCTCTGGGATGATAAAGTATTTTCTTATCTTATCTTATCTAATCTTATCTTATCTATCTTAACTTGCACACGGGACCTCCGATATTTTTTGGCCCTTGTCCGGGAAGGCTAGGTGTAGATATTTCCTACTATACCAGAAAAAACAGAAGTAAGAAGGAGCCGAGAAGTAGCAGCAGAAAGGCTACAGAAAGAGTCAGGAGCCCAGAGGAGGGAGCAAAGCAGGTGAAGGGGTGGGGGCAGAAAGTGGAGACGAAAGCAGACGACAAACATTGCTAGAGAGCAGGAAAGGAGGTGAAAGGAGACAATTTTAGAGAAGAATATTTTTTCATTCCCTACCCGAATTTGAACCCAGGACCTTTGAATGAGAGGCGAACACCCTAACCTCTAGGCCACCAGAGCCCCCGCATAGGCATGGTTGTGAGGGTAGCTTTATTCAGGATAATACAGACATTCAGACACTGTATTCACAAAGAGTGCTCATTGAAGTAGAACATTCTTACACAAGACAGAGGGGCAAGGGGCACTGGCTTTGAGTTTCTTGTTCCCTGTCTGTGTATCTGTCTGTCTGTCTGTCTGTCTGTCTGTCTGTCTATCTGTCTGTGCTTGTCTGTCTATACTTTTATCTGTCTGTCTGTCTGTCTGTCTGTCTGTCTGTCTGTCTGATGTCTGTCTGTTTGTCTGTCTGTCCTCTTTTCTCCTTATCTCTCAGTCTCTGAATAGAAGTGGACGGTGGGTCGACAGTGTTACAAAACGTTCTAGTTTTAGAAAGAATTTTACGGCACTTGCAACACAATAAGGTCATATAAGTGCCGAAGAATAGATTATGTGTTACAAGAGAGTAACATACTCGAAAAAGAAGGATGGGAGATAAGGACGACAGATGTTTGACAGGAAAGAAGGAGCAAACCACACCACAGCACCCGCCAACTACCCACGCAAAACGTTCAACACATTAACAGTGATCGAGATAAGAAATAATCACTCTATACATTAAACGCATAATATGATACACAAAGACACAAACAAGCAAACCAACAGCTCAAACAGAGCTCCCCCCCACCTCCACCCCAGCCCCAACCCCCCCCCCCCCAACCACCAACCTAGAACAAATCGTGGCACAACATTGCAGCAACAAGGAAGTATATTCACTCGGGGAAGTTTGGTCAAAATAAACATGCTGCCCTCTTCTAGCTTTGGCAAGTTGAGCGAAGTGTGTCACTCTGTTATAGACTGTATTTTCTCGCAACGTGGAAGGATTCAAATCACAACCTTGTGTAGGGAAACCGTCCGGTCGGAAGTGCCGAGGAATTAAGCTGAATGCTAGACGGAGCCAGACATTTGAAAGGTTAGTGTTAAGTTTCTGGAGAGTTTTTGGGACCATGAGGTTTACACCTTTTTGTACTCACATCATTTCAAATGCTGAAATGTAATCCAAAAGGGAGGGTAGAAAAAGAAAAAGAAAACAGTGACAACACGCCACAATAAAGGTCACATATCTAAACAATATTAGAAGTTTCTGTGAACCACTGCGTCGTCACAGGTGTACCTCCGCTGTGTATGTGATAAATAACATGTTAAACAAAATTATGATATGGTTTAAATAACGCCCACGGTATCGCTGTAAGTTTATTTCAATAGCAGGACCTATGAATCCGATAGGACGAGGTAAGATGGGGAAATTCGTGTAAAGTGAGTTTCCCAAGGACGCAACGTTGGGCCGAGCTGAGAATCGAGCTCTCGAACTCGCAGTGTCACCAAAGAGGTTATACATATGACATGATTTACGAGTCCGGTAGCCCAACCATAAGATGGCGAGATCCATATTATTACATTTTAGTTTATAATTGATGCTACGTACTAGCAGTTTAGTAGTTCTCCAAGGAAGTTTAAAGCGCTCCTTGGAAATAACATGTACTTATGAAAATTGCTTTTGTAAGATTTACTTCCTGCTTTAGCAGTCAGGACATGTAACGACAAAAGTTAATCTCCTGCCCCCCCCCCCTCCCCCCCCTCCCCCCTCCCCCCTCCGCCTTACTCACTGTCTTTCCTCCCTTCCTTTCGTTTTCCTATCTTTCCCTCTCATTGTGTACTCGTCTATCGGTTCGTCTGTCTAATTTTCTTTTGTCTGTCTGTCGATCAGCAACACGCTTTAGTGTGTGTTCATCAGGTGTTGTGAAACTGTCAGACGTATGTATGTATGTATGTATGTATGTATGTATGTATGTATGTATGTATGTATGTATATATGTATGTATGTATGTATGTATGTATGTATGTATGTATTTTTAGTTTTAGAAGAGGTTTTACGGCACTCGCAACTGCATAAGGTCAGAAGATTAGAGGTGTTAGAAGAGAGTAACAAAAATAAAAAAAGAAGGGGAGATAAGGACGATAGATGTTTGATAGGAAAGAAGAAGCAGACCACACCAGAGCACCCGCCAACCACCCGCTATGTATGTATGTATGTATGTATGTATGTATGTATGTATGTATGTATGTATGTATGTCGCACGAAAGTACGTACGTTGTATGTATGTAAGCGCGCGTGTGTGTGTGTGTCTGTCTGGCTGTTTGTCTGTGTGTGTATGTGTGTTTGTGCTTGCCTGCGTGTGTGTGCGTGCGTGTGCGTGCGTGTGCGTGCGTGTGCGTGCGTGTGCGTGCGTGTGCGTGCGTGTGCGTGCGTGCGTGTGTGACGGTGTAATGGTTCACAGTCTCTCTCTCTCTCTCTCTCTCTCTCTCTCTCTCTCTCTCTCTCTCTGTGAGTCTCTCTCTCTCTCTCCCTCTCTCCCCCCCCCTCTCTCTCTCTCTCTCTCTCTCTCTCTCTCTCTCTCTCTCTCTCTCTCTGTGTGTGTATGTGTGTGTGTACGTGTGCTCATTTATGCATATTGTTAAAAAAAGCAATGAATGACAAGTCTGGCACGAACACAAGTTTGTTATCTGAATACAAACGCTCTATATTGTTATCTCCTCCTTCTTTGGCGACACCGTCAAGGGTTTGTTGGAATTTATTAACATTGCTTTTTTGGCGTGATACTACTTGGCCATTGCCTGCTTCAGCAAGTTTCCCAAATCACTTGACCTCTGGCGTCCTAAAGTTTTTATGTTTCAACCACAACAAATACAATGTTAAGAGAATGAACAAAAAGTATCTGAATCTGAAAATTAAGCTATTGTTTTCAAAAGCTTCAGTCCATACATCGATTACTACAGGTTGTTACTCTAAGGTATCCAATAAACATATTGATTTTCAATTATTTTGCGCCCCCCCTCCCCCCCCCAGGCGCGCTCCTTATTCCATACCCCCCGTTATTATTTTTCAGCTTGCCACAACTGACGATCACGTGAAACGTTATGATATCTAGAATCTAGATAATAGATATCTAGGTTGTAGATCCAGGCTTTTGTCGCATAGCCCTGAAGCCGCTTGAATCGATCGATAACCTACTTTATCACGATGCCGACCGCTTACTTGATCTACTCGTAGTACAAGTAGATCTAGGCCTGCACTCGGCGTGGCACTGGCTTAGGAGTTTCCGCGAGCTGGCTAAAGGAATGGCAGCAAATGCTGGTTTCCAAGATAAGGATTCACAATTTTATCTACTTTATAGATTTAAACCATATTCTAATTGCATCTAAATATGGAAATGGTGCATGATCAAGCCAAACTTCGATTAATAATAGGTCTAGAAATAAGACTCATGAGTCAAAACGCAAAATTAGTGAAAAACATTCTTTTCATGAACCTTTTGAATCTGAGGTATCCTTCCGATGTTTGTGAATGAACTGTCTATGTCATTGGAGCAATCGTAGCCTACTACTACTACTACTACTACTACTACTACTACTACTACTACTACTACTACTACTACTACTACTACTACTACTACTACTACTACTAGTGATGATAAAATAACGATAAAAACCACTTCTATAACGCCCACTCCCTGGTGACTCTGGAGTCGTCACAACACAATAAGTTTTCAACTCACTAACATGTTTCATGCGCACTGACCGATTCAATGCGCATTAACCTGTACTTTGTAATAGGGGCGGTTGGTTGGAGGAGGGGG